TAATGGAATGTTGCTGTGCATGTCCAGTTTGGTAGTTTGGTGGATTTCATTCATGATGGATACTCAATACGATGGACAGTTGGGTTGCCCAGTCAACTTGGTATCCCTTGGTGATGTGTAAAGTCTCTACCAGGGACTATGAGCCAGCTTTTAAGAATGGAGAATAGTTGTCAGCAGAGGAAGGCATGGGGCTTTGCCAATCACACTGACGAGCTCCACTGACACTTTCATACCTTTGGGTCTATTGATAATGAAAGTTTAGTGGCAGAGCACCTTGCACAGCAGCCCAAACATGTTGAAAAACTCTGTTTTGTTTTCTGCTCGACCCAAAACTGGCAGCCTATGGGTTCCTTGGTAAATGAACTATAGCAGCACATACCTATATATGGTATATATTGCTTCCAAAACCAAAAGAGGGCCACCAAATGTCATGTTTCTTTCTTTGTGGTATATGGTTCAAGGGGAAGTGACTTGGTTCTTACTTTAGAGGGAAATCCCCACACAGTCCACTCGACTCCATTGTACCCCTGGAAGCTTCGATATTGCAGGCCTACATAATCTTTCACGGGGACTATCTCCAACCTCTGACATGTGGATGTCTTACTTAGACTTCAAGGGGGCTTGATATGACCTGCTCACAAGACCAATGAGTAAATTGTCATCAGTGTAAAGGACAAGCATGATGTTTTATGAGCTATTGAGAAGATCATAACCCCTCTAAACTATATATATACACATGCATATTAGATAGATAGATAGATAGATAGATAGATAGATAGATAGATAGATGATAGATAGATGAGTCCTGGTGGTAAGGAGTGGGGTAAATGTAAGTATTGGCCCTGCCAGCAAGGTATGAAATAGAACTACTGCTGTGCTTGTCATTACCACATCTGATTAAGTTTGCCATAATGCATAGTAATTCTTCATGACCCATTTGACCTTTGCTGTAGCCAAAAGTATGAGTCCTTAGGAATGTGATAGGAATCACCACCCCTTTGTCTCTCATATCTTTGATGGTAGCACCATTGGTCTTTGTCATCCTCTGGAAATGTCTTGCTTCTGCTTTGCTCTCTTGACTGAGAATGAGTTTTAGGGAGGAGAGGATAGTTCCTGGGATTTCCACTTGGCTCTTCCTACCTAAACAGCCTTCACTTCACAGGATAGGAAGCTAGTGGAGAGCTTTTGCTAGTTGCTCTGTGTATCTATTTCCACTGTACAGTACATTAGGGACTAGGGATAGAGCTACCAAGTGGGTCCACAGTTCTACTGGCCCTACTGTTGGGTGGACATAACCCCTTCTAACCCTGACCTCCATAAGACCCTATCTAATTGGTGCACAGTGGAATTTTGGGTTTCTGTACGGTCAGTGGATGAGTAACTGGGAAATCTGAATGAGGCTTATGGATTGCACTAATACCAGTTTCTTGACTCTATTATTGTACTGAAGTTGTAGAAGATGTTAGCAATGGGCAAGGGGGAAGGTGTTTGGAACTTCCCTGTGTATTTCTCTGTAACCTCTTGTGAATCTACAATTATTTCAAAACAAACAAAATTTTTTTTCATAACAAAAATTTTAAAATATAGTTGTAGGGCACTTGGGTGGCTCAGTTGGTTAAGTGTCTGCCTTTGGCTCAGGTCATGATCCCAGGGTCCTGGGATCGTAAAACGGCTTCCTTTGCTAGGCTGTTGAGAGGATCAGAGAAAAATGAATCTAGTACAATGTACGGGGTAGTTTTTTAATCAGTTATAGCCACACAAACACAAACATATATACCCACCTGCATTTTTGACATTCCTAGTCTCCTACCAGTGAGACATGAGCTTAGAGCAACTAAAGTTGCTCTTGTTGCCATTACCTTATTCATTATAGTTATTTTCTGGTTGGTTTTATGGATCTTGTAAAACTAGTTTTGAATGAAATATGTATCCTTACTTTTTCCATCTTAATTTTTAAGAGCACATACATCCTTCAGTTGCTAAGTAACACGCCTATAATGTGTTCTCACAGTGGTTCCATCCGAATAATTTCTGTAATCACTTAGGAGATTGCTTTAATAGTGTATCATCTTAAATGGTAAGAAATGACTAATTCTAGGCTGTTTGGAGAAAACTGACTGAAGTATTTCCTCAAAGGCAGGAGGTTCAGCAGCCAAGGAGCATGGGACGAAGCACATGATCTATACCTCGCTCGCCGCAGGTCTCCTTCACGAGTGCATTACTGCCTTTCATGCCTCCAGATGGAACACACACTCACCAGGGAACTTTTTAAAGTTCCAAAGAGCCAAAGGATCCAGAAGGGGAGATTTTTAAAAAGGAGTATTTTGCTCTAGCGAATTGAAAAATTGCATTGATCACTGCCATAAATGCAGCCTGATGCAGAAGTTAGGCAGTATTGCTTTCTATCAGGGCAGAAACACCAGCAGAGTGGAAATAGGGAAATAGCACGGCTGTCCTAACTGAGGGAGAACACCTGACAAGACACCCAGCAGTTCGGTTGCAGGAGCCCCTCTGTGATATCACCTTCTTCTGCTTTTTTACACAAGGGTCCTGGAACAGGTGGCCAGGTGCTCAGAAACATGCTCATTTGAGCTGGGGACCCAGAGGACAGAACCTCTGATTTTGAACCCCAAGGCATGGGCCAGGTTTGTGTGGCTCCCATGGGTAGATTCTACCTCAGTCCTGACCATCTTATAGAAGCCACGGTCCAGGGCGGTGTGTATAAGCAGCGCAGCCCACATCCATGTCCCTCCTACTCTGAAGAGATTGGGTCCCTTAACTTTCCTTCCCTTCTGTTGACTGATTTCCTTCCTCTATCACCAGACTTTTAGAAAGGCCGGTCTTGCAATGTCTACACTTTCTGGCCCCACATTTTCTTTTCATTTCATTGTAGTCTGGATCCTTACCCTCCTCCCCAAGTAATCACTAAACTGCTCTTCCTGAGGTCAACTGTGGCATCTTAAATCCCAGATCCCTGCCCCATTTTCAGCCCTCCACCTGAAGGATGGCCCTGCTATGTTTGACATGAGACATGGTCTCCTCCTTGCGGCTTGCTTCTCCAAAGGCTTTGGCTCTTCTCTCTTGGTCTGTCAGTCAGCCTCATCTCCTAATTCTCCTGTTCCTCTCCCCGTTTCTTCTTGGTCCCCTTTGCTGATCCTCTTCTTTCCATGCTGTAATGTTGGTGTCCTAGAGAATTAATTTTTTAGTTCTTCCTTCTTTTACCTCTGTCCTGCCACCCCTTCCCCCTTCCCCCAAGTCCAGAGTCATCTTACCCACCCTACTTGGTGCTGGGCACTATGCTAGTGCTGGAAATACAGAGATGAACATTTTGTACCATGGTGTAAGTTTGGACAATGAGTGGGGGTGGGGGGATTCAATTCTATGTGATGGGAAGGAACAGGGAGTACAACACACTGGAGTATTTACCAAGTTGCATAATCCTTAGAAGTGAGGGTCTGTCGGGCCTAAGTCATGGCCTTCCAGAAGAAAGGGTGTGTGTGTGTGTGTGTATGTGATGTAACACGCATGTGTGCCCAGAAGCCTTGCGCAGTTGAGGAGCTGTTCCACTCTAAGAAGGGGGCCTTATCTTGCTCAGGCAGTGCTTTAAAGTTACCAGAAGATTCGTTGGGGGAAGCTGGCTTTGCCCCAGCTTGTAGATGAGTCACTGATTCTTCAAATTCCCCCTTTGAACTCTACACTCAGGGTCCCAAAGTATTTTTGTGTCTCCAAGGGTGATTTCAAAAATATTTAACAAAGACATCAACACAGCTCAATCAGAATGAATGATTGAGCAAGATTCCTGAGGTGCCCTTCTGTGCCATAAGGTGAGTCCTTTAGAGCCTTTAGATCATAGAGAAGTGTGTGTGTGCACACGTGTGTGTGTATGCGTGCACATGTAGGGTGTCCTGAAGGAGAGGCTGAGCAGCTGAGGCAGAAAGAAGGGGATTTAGGGGGTCTTGGGACAGTGCGATTTCCCAACTATATGAAGGTATTTTAATATATTAACATCCTGTATGGCCATAGAGAGGCAGTCCTACCTTCCTCCTGAGACTGTAAATTCTCTGAGAGCAGACTTATTTTTAAGGTCAGCTGATTGGCACCCTTAATTTCCCTTTGCCATGTAACCCAACATATTTACACATTCTGGTAATAAGATGTGGACATTTTTCGGTGTGGGGGGGGGTGTGTTATTTTGCCTAATATCTGCACCCATGAGACAAAAGACAAAACAAAACCCACAAGTCTCCTAACATAGTGTGAATGGCTAGTTAAAGCTTAGGATACATTTCCTGTGAAATACTGTAAAGTGTCATATATCAAGCGACACACATAATCAGTAAATATTATCCACTTGGAAAATTCCCCTGCATGACTCAAAAGTAATCTGGTAGATGCTAACCCTGATGATCAAGACATGAAAAAATTTGGTGAAGTTGTTCTATAAATAAGAGATTAGAAAAAGCAGTTTCTTTAAAAGTATGTGTATAAGTAATGCATTAAATATTTTGATTGCATCCTTAAGGGTTCTGTGTTTGAGTTGGCCTAAACACTTTTTAAAGATATTTTTTGTTGGAAAGCAGGATCCTCTGATAGTGTGGTCACCCTGTATTTGGGCGTATATGATAAATGTTTCTTTATTAAATATTTAATATATACTCAAAATAAAAATTCAAATGGTTAGGAGAGTAAATGGTAAAAAAATAAAGGGTTGTGTGTGTGTCCTGATCCACCCCCGTCCTACCCTCCAGAATTAACTACTATTAATAGTTTCTTGTGTATCTTTCCAGAAATGTTCTGTCTATAGGCCTACATGATCTAGCTCCTGTTTACTTCTTGTGATACTCTTCGCTTGCTCTCTGCCCCAGCCACTCTGCCTGCTTTTTGTTTTTCCAAAACATCTGGATCATTCCTGAAGTCCCAGGACCTTTGCACTTTCCATTTCTCTTCCTGGAATGTCTTCTTTCAGATCTCTGCATGACTAGCTCTGTCTCCTCTTCCAGGGACCAGCTCAAAATCCCTTCCTCGGGAGCCTGGGTGGCTCAGTTGGTTAAGCGGCTGCCTTCAGCTCAGGTCATGATCCTGGAGTCCCTGGATCGAGTCCCACATCGGAGTCCCTGCTTCTCCCTCTGACCCTCCCCCATCTCATGTGCTCTCTCTCTCTCATTCTCTCTGGCTCAAATAAATAAATAAAATCTTTAAAAAAAAAAATGCCTTCCTCAGTGAAGCTTATCCTGCTCCCTTATACCCTGCTATCACTTAATCCTGTTTGTGTTAGTCAGCTTGGGTGGCCATAACTAAAATACTATAGACTGGTTGACTTAAATGGCAGGAATTTATTTTGTCACCCTTCTGGAGGCTGGAAAGTCCAGTATCAAGGTGCTGGCCAATTCAGTTCCCCAGTAAAGGCTCTTCTCCTGCCTTGTAGACCTCACTCTATCCTCACCTGGCCAGGGGGTGGTGGTGAGATGGTGGGGGCGGGGTGTGGGGAGAAGGAGGAAAAGCAAAGCAAGCACTCTGGGGTCTCTTATAAGGGCACTAATCACCTCATGAGGGTTCCACCCTCATGACCTCATTTAAACCTATAACTTTTCAAAGTCTCCACCTTCAAATACCATCCACTCGGTGGGGGGAGGGCTTCAATGTAAAAATTTCGGGGGGACTCAATTCAGCTCATAGCACCATATTAGTCTTCAGAGAACACAGAACATTCCCAGCGGAAATCAGCATCTAGTGTTTTGCTGTTCATAACACAAGCCCATCTAAAGAACACAGACCTCACCAGGAGGATGCTGTCAGTCTTTCTCAATGCTTCCCTCTTTGAGCCTCCATGAGATGTTCCAGAATACTGCCAGCCCTTAGAAGAAACTAGTGACTGATTTTACTGACAGGTTTGCCAACAAGATTATCTCAGAATCTCTTGACTACTTGTAGGCTTTGTCTCGTTTTCTCCACAGAAGATTAAAAGGAATTATAGTAAGTACAAGTAGGAGTTGAGCGCACCTGATACTGGAAGCACTCAAGCACAGCATTGCTCCTCAGAGCTGTGTCAAAGTTCATTAAGTGAAGGCGTTTGCACGGTTGACACCCCAAGACACTGCTCGCCTGGCTGACCACGTGAAAAATGAGTGCTGAAGGTTTTTAACTTGGTGGCAAATTCACATGATGATGAAGACACAGAGGCTCAGAGAGTGTAAGTGACAAACTCAAGGTCTCCCAGCGTGTTACAGAAGGAGCTGGACTTAGAATCCAGGGCCGGTCCCGATGGAGAGCTTCTTTAGGACAGACCCATGGTCTCATCCCCTTTCAGTCAAGGAGCTGTCAAATAGCCAGCCAGCCACCACTCAGATGCAGTCCCAGGCAATTGGCATCACAGACCACTCCTTGCCACCCAAAGGAAGTGGGACAGAAAAAAGTTCCAGATGGGTCCCCAGGGTATGCGTCCACTCGTTGCTGAGTTGCTGGGTGGAGGCAGGCCTGAGTTCTGGGTTTGTGATCAGAGCCCAGAGGACCTTATTCCCTTGGGTAGCTGTGAACATGAGGTTATGGCAGGAAAACCTGAACATAATGAAGAGCAAAGGAGTGAATTGAACCAGGATGGTCAATCCAGTGGATTGGTAGGGCCCACTAGAAATTCATTAGGCCCTCTCTCGTTCTGCCTCAGTGAATTTTCACCATCTCTGTTGAAAACACAGACATACATTAGAGAATAAGCTTTTTAAAATTTGCAAGTAACTAGCAAATGGAGAGCAGGTTGCATTCTGTACTGATTTGTTTTTAGGAGAGTAAAACCTACAAACCAAGCAAAAGATACCTTTCTCAAGAGCATTCTCAGCTGAAATGCACAATGAGAAAGGAATGAAGTGTGAATTTAATCCAAAGCTTTGGGAACGCCTCTCAGCCTTGGGACAGCAGCCTAAGTGTCTTAAGATAAACAAGGACTAGGTTTTGAAAAGCCTCCTGGGGACTTTTGCAGTCAGGTACAGTCACATGAAATTCCTGAGTCCTCTGACAGGCTCTATTGTGTGAACACCCAAAAAACTGGGGCAGTTCCAGACCTGGAAGGAACTGAGCATTGAGGTGACCGTTGTCCTCCTCATGCTTCCCTGCACGTCTAAGGTGGCTGAGCCCCACCGCGGGGCAGTAGTAAATAAAGCTCCTGGCTTCTGGGGCCTCTGATGCGTGTCTGATATGACACCCCGCTTACTGCCGATGGTACCCCACACCCACCAAAGTGCTTTCCATCAAGGATTTTCATGCTCACCCCATTGTGAACACAGAAAAGGGAAAACATGACAACAGAGTGGGTGGGAGGGCGTGTTAGTACATTTGGACTGCTCTAACAGATTATCACAGACTGGGGGGCCTATACACAACATTTATTTCTCACCGTTCCGGAAGCTGGGAAGTCCAAGTTCACGGAGCTGGCAGACACAGCGTCTGGCGAGAGCCCACTTCCTGTGTCTGTCTCCTGGCTGTGTCTTCACCTGGTGGAAGGGGTGAGAGAACAGTGTGGGGTCTTTTTATAAAGGCACTAGTCCCGTTCCTGAGGGGCTCCACCTCATGACCTCTCAAAGGCCCCACCTCCAAATACTGTCACATTGGGGATTGGGTTTCAACATAGGAATTTGGAGGGGGACACACACATTGAGTCTCCTGCAGAAGGGGGTACAGAAGAAAGTGTAAGGGAAGTGAGTGAGTTTGGGGGAGGAGAGTGAATGAAAAGGGATTTGGCACACAGTGCGGGTTGCTTGGCGAGTTAGGTTGCATAATTGGCCCCAGGTCTTCGCTTTTTTTGGACCCCGAACACTGTGCCAGGTGACTTTGCATCTCCTCCTACTAGTGTATTTCATCATCTCTGACTTTGGGGTTGGCCGTATGACTAGCTTTGGATAATAGAATGGGACAGAAAGTAACAGTGTTCCTGTCCCAAGCCTAGAGCTTAGGCGGCTCTGTGTGACTCTGCTTGTGTTCTTGTGCCTCAGTCCGTACCATGAGAAGAACATTCCTGAGGGGCCCGCTGGTCCTACGGAGGAGACGCATGTGGAGCCCAGCCCAGATCAGTCCAGACATCCCAGTGATCCACAGTTATGTGAGCAGATTCAGCTGAGATCATCAGAACCACTCAGTTGAGCCCAGCTGGGTCAGCAGACCTCCAAACACATGAGAAATACCGAAAGATTGCTGTTTTAAGCCACTGAGTGTTAGAGGAGGCTTGTTACACATTGATAGTTAACTGGCGTACCTACGTAGCAGCCACAATCGCCTTCTGCCGTGTCATAGAATCCTGGTTTTGTTAGTGATGACAATGTGTCATTACTGGTCTAACCCAGTCATGTCACTTCTGTTACTGTTTGCTAGATACTTTCCTTCCCAGACTTCTTTGCAGCTGGTGGTGACCATGTGACCTACTTCTGGCCAAAGAGACAAAAAGGGAAATCTTACTTCTGGGAAAGATTTTCCTCTCCATGAAGACAAAGCCCTGGGGCACCTGGGTGGCTCAGTCGTTAAGCGTCTGCCTTCAGCTCAGGTCATGATCCCGGGGTCCTGGGATCAAGCCCTGCATCAGGGTCCCTCCTCAGCGGGAAGCCTGCTTCTCCCTCTCTCACTCCCCTTGCTTGTATTCCTTCTCTCGCCGTGTCTCTCTCTGTCAAATAAATAAATAATCTTAAAAAAAGAAAGAAAGAAAGAAAACAAAGCCCTGTTCTGTCCGTCCCTTTCTTTCCTCTTTGGGGCCTGGTCTGACTGTGTGATGCCTGGAACCGTGGAAGCCATCTTGTCACCATGAGGTCACCCGTCCGAGGATGTGAGGTCCATATACTGCAGATGCTCAAACAGGATGAGAAAAGCCTGGGTTTTTCACTGCATTATTAAGCTTCAGAACAGACCCTGGGACCACCTACCTCCAGCCTCTCATCAAGAAAAGCAACGATCATTTTTATGGTTCAAAGCACTGTTGGCCATTTTCTATTATGGGAGCCCAGTGCATCACTGAGTGGTGAGGGATGCAGTTAAGGTGGAGGAGAAGGGTGTGGGTGACAACTGAGGGAGGTGTGTGTCACAGTGCTGTGACAAAAACATTGAAAATTGAAGACCTTTTCCTAATTAGCTGTGTAACCTTGAGTAATTCACTCACCTCTCCCGGCTGCATTTTCTTCTCCCAAGAGAAGGCATTTAACTAGATGATCTCTAAGGTTGTCACAGTTCAAACACGGACTCTGAACATACAGGCAAGTCTCTGGGTGCCACAGCTGGGCAAATATTCACAGAGGATTTTGGAGAATTATTAATTACGCCCCAAGAAAAGACTGAGGATAGTAGTTTGATAGCAAATGCTTAGCTCTGGGCTTGTAAATAATGAGTTTCTTCTTCATTTCTGAGTTTGTGTCTAATACAAGTCTTACCTGCTCTAGGGAATTTCATCAAATGCTCATTAGATGCCTTGTTTATAAAAAATGATTTGCATGCAAGGAGCGAATGCTTCCTTTTCAGGAGCAGGTGTTGTGGGATGAAGAGAAACATGCTGGCTAATGCCTTGTCATCCAAATTCACAGAAATTTCTGGTATCCTGGGCAGGTTTGACACCATTCTGGAGAGAGAACTAAGGGACACATCTTCTGAATAAATTAGTCTATTTATTCAGTTTCTAGTTCTGCAGAATAGAGCCTTGGCAGGATCCCAGAGAAGCATCAGCTGGGGAAAAAAAATCACTTTATTTTCTGCTTTAGCCAACAGCATTTTCCTGCCCAGACTCTGCAGAAACAGACTTGCTTAGCTTTGCAGGCTTCTCCAGCTGCCACTGTTTCTCCATGGCCTTCTGCTTACACATGCCCCCGGCTCAGTCAGATTTCTTCAGCTCTAATATTTTTCCCCCAAAATGATTTTTCTTTAATTCCTCTTTGCTCTTCACCACAGTGATGTACATAAGCTTTCCTTTTTTTTTTTTTCTGTTTTCTTCCACTTTCTAATACCTTCCTTGCTCACCTCCTCCTCTCTGCATCTATTGCTACGTCCTGAAAGGTTTTGACATTTGTGAAGTGATGTCCCTAAAAATTAATAAGAACCCTGGGTTGGGTGGGTCATGATTCTCTGATGTAATCACGGAGAAGTATTTTTACCAGCTACTATTTGCTGTTCCCAGAGAATTTTGCAGTTCTAGTCTCACTTTATTTTCCTTTTAGTATTCTGTAGCATAATTTTTAGTTCTGGAAACAAAATTCTAGATGAAAGTGGAATTTGGGCAGAAGGGCGAATCTGGGGCAGAGCAGTGAAGACCACCTGAGCACAGGAATGTCATTCATTTATATACACATTTTACAAACCTTTATTGAAGATGACTATGAAATTTTAAAGCACGGAGCTAAGGACTATAAGGGGAGACAAATTACCTGGTGCATGAACAGCTCATATATGGAGCTTGCATAGAGAAGGAGCAGGTGGGAATATTAAAAGGAAACATTTCCCCTTCTAGCAACACATACCTTATCAAGATTAAATGTGTTTTATCACAACCGATTCTACCCAGCTGAAGTGGACCCCAAACCAACCCTCTACTGGACCCAACTAAAGACTCTTTCCTGAACAATGAACACTTGGATCTGTTTGAACCAGCCACGTACAGACCTGTAGATTAATTTCCAGAGTGCTGGTTTTCAAGCTTCCCATCACTGGGGACTCCTCTTTCTAGATTAAACCATCTGACTTTCCCCCCTCAACTAACTACTCAGCAAATCTCTTCACTCGTGTGTGTTCCTTGCCTGGCAAGTCAACATACTTGGTTTTGTGGATTTTATTTATTTTATAGCTCTGGTAGTCTTCATTTTATTTGTTTTTAGAATATAGGCTGTAGGGGAGCCAACTAATGTTTAACATCTGGCAGCAGCACGTAAGAAATGTGGAACATTAAAAACAACTAAAAGAAAAACAACCAAACTGGGCGCCTGGGTGGCTCAGTCGTTGAGCGTCTGCCTTCGGCTCAGGTCATGATCCCAGGGTCCTGGGATCGAGTCCCACATCGGACTCCCTGCTCGGCGGGAAGCCTGCTTCTCCCTCTCCCACTCCCCCTGCTTGTGTTCCTGCTCTCGCTATCTCTCTCTCTGTCAAATAAAGAAATAAAATCTTAAAAAAAAAAAAAAGAAAAACAACCAAACCAAACCAAACAACAAGCCAATAATAGCAGTGGTCCCATAATAACAGCAAATCTTAGTCGGGAGACAGGGTCCTGCTAAGGAATGAGACCCACACTCACTTCCCGGCTCAGGTCATTTCTAACTAGGAGTTGGTTTCCACTGGATGAAGCCAAGTTCAACAGCAGTCTGATCCAGATCTGAAGATTGCTTCCCATGTTTGTGTGGCTTCTCTCTTCCGGTTAACGTTCCAAGTTTAGCCGGCTGATAAGGAACAAAGGCCATAATTTTCACAAAAACGACCTGCCTTTCTACTTTTTAATGATTTACCAGGTACTGCTGCAGCATTTGGTCGGTGTAGGTAGGAATTGTGCATCTTTGACTCTTGGGCTGTGATAATCTGGATTTTCTCAGAAGAATCCTTCCAGAACTTGAGTTAAATTTTGTTTTGTGACCTTATTAAAGAAAGTCAGGAGATTTTTAGTCCCCAGCCATGCTTCTGCAGCACACCTTTCAAACTCTGGGAATTACTGGAGCCCTGCACCTCATTCCTCCCTGAAAGAAACATCCGGCACTTTCCCCATACGTGTACTTTCCTCCTACATCAAGATGCTGTTACAATTTGTTTTTCCCCTCATGGCAGATTACTAATATACCACATATTTGTGAAGGGAATTTATCGAAAATATAGCAGAATCTTTTTAATGTACTCCTTGTAGCAGCTTTAAAGTATTACAGCCCAGTCATGTTTCTGCCTCTGGATGTCCCAGTGTTTTAGGGAGTTTGGGTCTGCAGCGTGAAGTCCTAAATCAGATGGGACTCAATGTCTTTAATGGTGACCTTCCCTGCTCCTCCCTTATTGTCATCTTTAAGTAAATGTTATTCAGTGCCTACCACCTAGGACTTCACCTTGGGCACATACAAAATGGTGTTTGAATATACTGCTTTGGCCTTCTGAGAGCTCAGGTTAAGCCATCTTCTTCCTTCCCTCCCTCAAACATTTGCTAATGGGCAGAAGAATGAACATAAGAAGAGTCCTTTGATAATTCAAGAGGCAAGCCAGAGCAAAGGCCCCACTCGAGAATGAATGTTTAATGGCGTGTTTCCAGAATGTGGAGATCAGGACAATGTAAGCCAGTAGTGGGAGTATATCAAAGGAAGGAGAGGAAATATTTCTCTTCCTTTTGTAGAAATGTTCCCATGAGACGTGGTTTCTTGAAACTATCAGCTATCAATTGCTGCATAACGAATGACCTCAAAACTCAGTGGCTTTATTAAAACAGCAATGATTTATTATCTCCTGTGATTGTGAGGGTGGAAAATCTACATCATTCTGTTGCTTGTCTTGCAATAAAAGTTGCAAGAGTTTGGGGCTGGAGGGTCTAAGATGGCCTCACTCACTGTCAGCAGTAAATGCTGGTTGTTGGCTAGGTCTTGTCTAGTCTCTTTCCCATGACCTCTTATCCTCCAGTACACTAGAATGGGCTATTGCACAACAGGGTGGGCTCAGGGTCTTCAAGCCTAGGCCCTAGAAGTTGTACAGTGCTACTTCTGCCGCATTCTACTGGTCCAAGCAGGTCCCAAGGACATTCAGATTCGAGGGGTGGAGAAATGAGTCCACCTTTTAATGGGAGGACCAAAGGGACATAGACCTCAAGCAGATGTGATTCACTGGGAACCATTATTCTAACAATCTATCACAGCAGAAGGGAGGTCAGAAGAATGGGGATGAGGGCTGGGCTGGGAGGTAGGAGGAGGATAATTTAAGAACTGAAGATGAAGATTCCCTCAGAATCTTTGTTCCTGTCTTCAATGATAGAATTCTATGCATCAGAAAATAATAGGTTGCTCCCAGTTATTTGTTTCTGGGGATATAGACTCAAGGGGATGCATGAGTGAAGGAAAAATAAAGGATGCCTACAATTTTATTAAAGTTTGGCATTTAGAGAATACGATATAAAATAGAAAAGCAGAAAATATTTCATTGCCAAAGAGATGAGGAGAAACAGAAGATTTTATCAGGAAAATATATACACATTCCAGATTATATATGCACATTTGAGCACACATAGGAGATGCTTTCTGCTGTAAGATAACTTTAATTTTATAGGTGAAGCTTTTAAAGAGGGTTTTCCTTTCTGTAGCCCTGTAATTCAGGCAGTCTGTCACCAAGTGATGGGTACATGGATTTTACTGAGAGCCATGTGGGTCCTTCTGTTCAAATCTCTTTAGAGTCATAATCTCAAATTTCCTCTACATAATAAAAAAAGCATGGTATTCTTTATTAAAGGAATTGAATCTAAAAAAATTTACAACTGATTTTGTTGAGTTTTAGAAATGATTTTCATAGCATGATTTTGTACCTTTCTCTCAGTCTTTAACTTTCTCTTGATTTAGATCCTGAATCTAAAGCCAGTACTCTTTCCTAGGAGTTTCTGTCTCAGCAGTTACTATTGGCTTTCTGTTGGAATTTCTGGAATACTGAAGAGGGGGTTAGACCTAATTAAAAAGATGGCTTTAGTTTGCCTTTCCAGCATACCATGACTCTGTTTTATCTGTGTGCCCATGGGGAAAAATGTAAAATAGAGCATAGTGTTTAGGTGCCACAGAGATCATATTTGTGTCTTTATTCACTGCTAATTTACCCCTGAGCTTTATCTTTGCAGGACTAGTATGGCCTGAATAAAACATAGGTAGCTTACGTTCTCTCCTTCCATTGTAACCAATAACCACTTCTTATAAACTGCCATTAACTTCAGGCTTCTACAGACACTTCCCTGGTAGGCTTAACATGTTTAACAGTTTGAAAACTAATCTTCAAAGGTTTGGAATAATAACTTAAACCACTTTTATTATATAAGCGCCGTGTTTATTTTTTGAGCCACGACAACTCCAGGAAACAAGAAAATAAACAAGACAATAAAAAAATTGCTCTGAGATGATTACTCTTAATTATGTCCCAAGCTGAGTCATCTTTTTGAGACGTGTGTTAATGGGTCCCCCCTAAGTCTCTTCCCCTGAGAATCCCTTCAAAGTACACAAACAGCTGTCCTCTTGACCTACCAACCAAAGGCAACAGTGCACTTCCATCGTGAGTTGCCCTGTGGTAGTTCTGCTTCGGTAGAGATTTGTCTTTAGCACGTTGTGAGGGTGTTAAAGATGCTTCTTATTTCCCACTTCTCTCAAGGGAGTTGTGGGGGTAATTAGCCTCAGCTGAATCTCAATATGAACAAGATCAAAACCAAAAATTGCTCACTCTTGAGTTATCGTAGTTGGATGAAAGTGAAGTCATTACCAGGTGCAACAGCTGGTCTTCCGGCCCCAAGGCCACAAGCAGAATGTTACACGCTCTGAAGCTTAATGATTTCAGCATTTATGTAGCAGCTTCAGGGTCCCCAGCCTGAACTCAATCAATTTCCACAGCTCACTGGGGAGGTGAAGATGGAAATGCCACCAACGTCTGCAATGGATGCAATATCCGGTCAATGGTCAGTTATTTGCAGAAACACCAAAACTGGGCCTGCAATTCTGGGGGACACAGGGACCTCCTGAAGTGTCTCTGCTCTGCAGATCGGGTGCTCAGGTCTTCTGCTCTGGACTATCAATTGTTTCAGCGGGACATTTAGAGGATGTTGCAGGGCAAACCGTGCATAGTGGAGGTCAATGGCATGTGCCTATTCAGCAGGAAAAAAACCCCAACAGCTCTAAAGAGTAAGCATGTAGATAACACTTCCTGGTTTTGCTGAGGATGGAGCTATAGACACACACACCTCTGCTGGCGCTGTAAGCAAGCACAAATCCCTGGGATGCTCAGAAAGCACAGTAACATTGTGGTGATGTGTCATTATTTTAACTGGCTACGTAGGGTGTCATTGTATGCATGTGCCATAATTTATTTAGCCAATATTTAAGTTGTTTCCAAATTTTCCCTATCATAAACAGTGTGTAGTGAACATCCTGATACATGATTTCTCTGTGAATTTGACCCATTAAGTCCCTGGCAAAAATTCTCACAAACGGAAATGCTGGATCAAACTCTATGATGCTGATATATAGTGTTAGGTGACCATCTAGAAAGTTCCATACTAAGATTATAAATTTTATAAAGATTTTTTTTAAAGATTTTATTTATTTATTCATGAGAGACGGAGAGAGAGAGAGAGAGAAGCAGAGGGAGAAACAGGCTCCCAAGGAGCAGGGAGCCCAATGCGGGACTCGATCCCAGGACCCTGGGATCATGACCTGAGCCGAAGGCAGACGCTTAACCATCTGAGCCACCCAGGCGCCCCTAAGATTATAAATTTTAATGTATATTTTTACATTTAGATATTTGCTCCATTTGGAACTTGTTTTGGTGGTAGAGATGCCTATTTGTCCAAATGACTAAGGCAGTTTTCCTGCCTCGCTTTTACCCTGTATCAAATTCTCGTTCATATTTAAGTCTGTTTCTGCATTTTGTATTACTGAGTTTTGTGTTAATTACTGCATAACACTTTAATTTTTATACTTGTATCATATGTTTTAATATCTTGTGGGACTAATATTTGCTCATTATTCTGCTTATTCTTTCAGAAGAATTTTGATATCAATTTTTTTTTTCTGTATTAAAGGAAAAAACCCTGAAATTTTTTTCCTTGGGATTTGCATTGAGTTTGCCATTTGATTTCAGGAAATTTACTTCTTTATAATATAGAGGACATGTCCAAAAATAGAATTTATTTTTCCATTTATTCAAATATCCTCTGCCCTTCAATAGAATTTTATTGTTTTCTTCACATAGGCCCTGAACATCTCTTGTTAAATGTATTCCTAAGAATTTTATACTTTTTTGATTGCCATTATTAAAGGGATATCCCCCCTTATAGCTATCTAGCCTGTTCTACCAAGTAGGCTAATCCACTTAGCTCCTAGTGCACAATTGTCTGGAAGGTCCAGCTCCCACCTGTGCACTGATACTTACAGGGAGCAGCAGAGTGGAGACTGGGTCTGGCCCCCTTCCTTCTCTCCCTGCCTTCTGGCCCTTCCTCCTTGGCTCTAGGATGTAGGTGTGGGCCCAGTTGTCCTAGTAAATAAGGGAGAATCATTCCATGTCGTGAAACTCCCCACAAGTGGCCAGCAATGAAAATATGAGCTTAGGGATGCCTGGGTGGCTCAGTCGGTTAAATGTCTGCCTTCGGCTCAGGTCATGATCCTGGAGTCCTGGGATCGAGTCCTACATTGGGCCCCTTGCTCAGCGGGAAGTCTGCTTCTCCCTCTGCCTGACATTCCCCCTGCTTGTGCTCTCTCTCTCTCTCTGACAAATAAATAAATAAATAAAAATCTTAAAAAAAAAATGAGCTTATTTTTAAGTGCCCAGTACCTTATACCTGGGGTCCCACAGGCTGCACCAGATGCCTTGTGGCTGAGGGGTCAGGAATTGGCGTGGGGGGCGGGGGGGCGTAGCATCAATGGTCTCTTATCCTGGCCATGGCCTTGTGACCCAGAGCCTGGGAAGTCAGTGTCCTGGCCCTCCCCAAGAGTACTCTCTTACCCAGGGTATGCCACTGGAAATCTCCTGAGGGAGAAAGGCAGCTCTAGCTTTTCAGAGGAGCTAGGCCATTTCCCCAGGGAAGAACACTCTCTAGAAAACAAGGGGGCTCCATGGTTTTTTTTAGTTCTGATTTCTATCTTAGTCATTAAAAATCAAGCTTTAAAAATAAGACCTTATCCATTATGTTTTAATAATCATCACTGGGGCTTACAGTGATTAATAATGGAAGGTTTTTGTTTAAATATTAAACATTAATGGTTTTGTTCTGCTCTTGAGAACTGGAGGCAGAGTTAGAAATGGGCTCACAACATGTTTTTTTACCCCTGGGGCCTGGGCTGATTGCAAAGGTGACCCTTGCGAGACTGGTACCTGTAATCAGAGGACACTCCCGTCCATGCCATGATCCACGGTCTGGGGCTGCAGTCTCCCGGCAGCATGGGACGTTACAAAGCCTTTTGTGTTTTTGTTTTCCCAAATGACCTATGGATCCGTTACAGAGGAATTTATTGTCAATTGCTTCTTTCCTTTGATGCCGCATGAGGACTCCGGGGCCGAGAAAGCCAAATCCCTTAATAATCATAGCTATTATCCGGCACTGAGCTGACACTTTATATGCATTATTCTATTTAAAGTTTACAAGTACCCTGAAGGATATGTAATATTATTCCTATTTTAAATATGAGGATATGGAGACTTAGAAATGTTAAGTAACTTTCCAAGTAGCCCCAGCTTGTAGGTGGTAGAAGTAAGATTTGGAATCAATTCTTATCTGATTCTAAATAATGTGCTTTTTCCATTGCCCTGTCTCACCTAACTAAATAATAATTACATAACTGGTGCCATTCTCTTGAGATACGACTGTCTCCTAGACCCTAGACCGGCTCCTGTTCTTTTTCGAGTAAGTGACGTGTCAGGATGATTTCAGAGGGTGTGCAACCAGGAGAAGTGGCATAAATATAACAGAAAATAATTACACCGGGCTTTACCCTGTGCCAGACACTGGGCTAAGGGCTTGGTAGGTAATAAACCATTGAATCCATAACAACCCTGTGATGTAGTTTCCATGATTGTCCCTCCATTCTATAGTTAAATCACAGAGACATAAAGCAACTTGTCTAATATCAGATAACCAGCAGGTGGCCAAGCCAGGACCCACCCACGTAGGCAGGCTCCAGAGTCCTGTGCTCTTACCATTCAGATGGAATCTCTTTAACTAAGATGGGGAAGGCTGGGGGAGGAACTTTTGGGGGGTGAAGGCTGATGTTATCAAGAGTTCTGTATGAGCATGCTATATCTGAAGTAGATTATTGGGTATCCCAAAGGAACTATCAAGAAGACATGTGGTTATCGACTTGGTATCATCAGCATATTGATGGTATGTAAAGCTCAAGATAAGATGAAGTCACCACTAGGAAATGTATAGATAGGGAAGACGAGAGGTCCATGGCCCCTTTCACAGCCTGAGAGTAAGTGGAGGGGGGAGGGTTGGCAAAGGACCCAAGTGACCCTTCCCTTTCTCTCACAGCCCACCTCCCAACCATCAGCGGGACCTGTGGATTTCCCCCAATCCTTACCACGGCCCAGGCTCCACTGCCTTAGAATGAGCCATCAACATGGCTCACTACTACAATCTAGAGACCCCTCTGACAGACCACTCTGGTCACCCCACCCTCTTCACTAAATCCTGCCACGCCAGCCTTCTTGTTCCGAATGGAGGGGCATGTTCCCCTCTGGGCCACAACACTTGCTATTCCCCCTACTTGCAAATACCCTTTCCTAGATAGTCCCAGAACTCCATCCATTGCTTTGTTCAGATTGCTACTCAAATGCCACCTCCTTGTAGGGACCTTTCCTGACACCTTATCCAAAGAGCACCCCCAATTCTCTTTCCCAAGATCTGCTTTAGTTCTCTTCATAGCCCTTATCACTTTCTATATTGTTCGATATTGTATGACATGTTCATCGACCATCTCTTCTCTATGATGGGAAACTCTGTGAGAGCCGGGACTCTATGTTTATTCATCACTGTATTCCCAGTGACGGTCCCGGTGGGAGACAAATGACAAATATTTGTGAATGATCGATGAAGAAGAAACTGAGAAGTAGTTGTTGGGACAGGAGGAAAATAGGGAGGAGTGTGCAATCACAAAAGCCAAGAGATGAAAGTGTTTTAAGAAGGCAGATGTCTGTCTACACCTAATGCTGATGAGGGTCAAAGCAATCAAGATGGAATCTGGTTGCTGATATTCTTCCCACTTCACTTTATTATTATTGGTGTGATGGAGACTCATTTGCAAGGACGTTCTTTGCTGCATTGTAGGTAACAGCAAACGTTGTAACAAACTGGAATAAATAGGCATGATTAACTTAATGGTTGAACACATTAATACATCTATGGAATACTATGCAGTCATCCAGAAGAAGAGGGAGGTCTATAGCATTTTCTAAAAAATTGTCCAGATGTATTAAGTGAGAAAGTAAGTCAGAGTCCAATTTATACTATCCTTTTTTTGGTTGTTAGAAAAGATATATGTATCTACTAAGAAAAAAATAGGATAGATAAACAATAAATCATTTTGTAAGTTATCTCGGCAGAGTTGTATTGGGAGATTTTTCCCTTCTTATTTTGTTGTATAACTGTTTTTTAAGGGGTAGGATTATTTTTGCTCTTTGCAGTTTGCCAATATATTTCAAGTAATGAGAAAGGACAAGAAATAAATGGGATGACTATATATAATTTAAATAAACAGATGAAAAAATTGAGGATGCTCTGGAATAGACATGAGCCAGAGAACACAGAAGGAAAGCTTCTGGCAAGAATGGAATGCTTTCTGCTCATTTACCTCTGCTCTGAGTATATGAGAGGCCCCATGCCACTGGGGTGTTGGGTGGCAATTGTCAAGACATCATACTGGTTTTGAGCTAGCTACTCTGTCTCTCCCACAGGGAGAAACTTCTGGTATGTTCCAGTGGCTGAGTTAGTCCAGTGGTCTATAGAGAACTCCTGTAGGTTATGCCAAAACTTAGCTGCTGGCATCATCATTCAACATTTTTTTCTCCTCAAGACACCTAGAGTCTGTGAAGTGCATTCTGATGAGAATATGGCATGAAGACCCAGTTCCTCTCTTCCAGATGCAACATTTGTCCAGAGTCCATTGACAACAGTGAGCTGTGGGACATACTTGGCTTACCTCCTAGAGACTTCATAGCAGAGTAAAATTTGCTTTTATTGAATAGGTAAGAGTCAAGGTCATCCCCTGAAACAGATTTTTTTGCAAAAGGGGAATAGGTGTTTTCCCCATGAATTGCACTTTAAAAAATTAAATTCTATTTCAATAATAAGAATTGATCAAGGATGCCAGTGTTCTTCCTTTTTACTTTGTTAAGGAATCCGGATTGCGTCCAGCTGCGTATGTGAGAGAGTTAGCAAAAATCTCGACCCCTCTCCCAGTCAAACTTCTTGAGAGAGGAGTCTATATTTGATGTCTCTTTCTCACTTCTAGATTTTCCCCAGCCCTCTGCATTATACCTTTCCTCCCCCTTTCATCGTCTTCATTCACTCTCAGTCCTTTGTCTGTCACCCACATTCCGGGAGGCTGTCTTCTGTCCCCAGCACCCCTCTTGGCCCCTGATATGGAGTGGCCCTCCATGCACAACACGCCTGCCCCAAGCGCTCACACTGCCTTTGCTCAGTGTGCAAACGCATGCTTTTCCCTCATTTTTCCACCCAACTAATTTACCTTTCATGATTAGCTCAGCTGTCCCTTGGGAGAATCTTCTCAGGCCATTCCCTCCCACCCCCGGGAAGAACTGGGTCTTCTCCAGTCTGTGTTCTCAGAGCTGTGAGCAGACTGTAGGTACAGAGCTTACCTGAGAGTCACTGTGGCTTTGTCCTCCCGTGTCTCCTGTCTGTCTCTTCCATTAGACTTACATCCTTAGCCCTAACACAGTAGTGGGGGCAGAGTAGGGAGTAGGTGCCCAGCTCCTGTTGGCTGAATAAATGGATGTATTTATTGATTCCCAGGGGAAAATGTGAAAGGCAAAACCATAGTTTTGCTGGGGACTCAGTGCTCTGGTGATAGGAATCCTGAAGAGCCACAGGCACATAACCCCCCACCCAGTTACCACTCTGACCTGCCTTCTTCCAAATCTTCACTGGGGCTGGCCCAAGAGTTTGAAATCCCCATTCCCAATTCTGTTTCTGACTCACTAGCCCTTTGGGTTACTCACTTCCTGTCCACAATGGCACTTGCTGGTTTATAAAGCAAGGTGACCCTTGAGGGCTAACAACAACCGAGAGCTTATAAACAGTTTCAGAGTCCCATGAACTGTGTAAATGCTAAATGTTGTTATGAATCAGTAAAGTGCGTGAGTGAGTGGAAAACTGCTAAGCTCTCCCCTGGATTGCTAACTACTTTATTTGTCAAATTTAAAAAGTGCTAAAACCCACCCCAAGGGGAGAGTTTTGATATTCACTCTTCCTCATGAGTAATTTCTTATGAAGAAGAACAAATAAGATGGGAAGCTGGGATTTCAGCTGTTGGGGGTGGGGGGCGGGGGGCGGAGCAGCCTCTCCAGCTCTGATTCCCACTTCTTGTGTATTTAAGTAAGTGTCTGCAAAGAGAACGATGCATAAATCATGAGTACCCGAAGGCAGTTCCTGCGAAAGGAAGAGAATTTATAAATGTTGCAGCTCTGTTTCCTTTCGAGGGGTGCCCAGTGAATCAAAGGTCACTGTGGATGTTTACCCCTCTCTGTACCCTGCTGGAGGAAGGAGGGTGACTCCTGCGTCATTTCTCAGCATCTCAGCAATACCTAAGGGCGTAGGAGGTCCTTGACACTCTCCTCCAGTTAAGCCAGGGTAAGCAGGACCCCTGGCCTCCCCAACAAAGGGGTACCTTTCAGATCAGAAGCAATTAGTTGAGTCCTCCCATGGCCAGAAGAGTGAGGCAATGCCAAATGCCAATTAGCTTGCCATAGAAACATGCAGCTTCCCAGCAGTCGGGTCTAATGCTAACATGAGGACTAAAAAGTGACAAGCAGTCTGGGGAGTAAGGTTTCCTTTTTAGAACATGATTGGCTTCAGGCCTAAAAGTGAGGACCTTGATATGCTGGCTTGTCTCCTGTGCTTTCATTAAGAATGATATGAGGAATTCTTAATCTCAGGAAACAAACTGAGGGTTGTTGGAGTGGTGGGGCTGGGAGGGATGGGGTGGCTGGGTGATAGACACTGGGGAGGGTATGTGCTATGGTGAGTGCTGTGAATTGTGTAAGACTGTTGAATCACAGACCTGTACCTCTGAAACAAGTAATACATTATATGTTAAAAAGAAGAGAAGATAGTATGAAGGGAGAAATGAAGGGGAATGAACCATGAGAGACAATGGACTCTGAAAAACAAACTGAGGGTTCTAGAGGGGAGGGGGGTGGGGGGATGGGTTAGCCTGGTGATGGGTATTAAAGAGGGCATGTTCTGCATGGAGCACTGGGTGTTACACGCAAACAATGAATCATGGAACACTACATCAAAAACTAATGATGTAATGTATGGGGATTAACATAACATAATAAAATAACAAAAAAAGAATGTAGCGCATGCTACCTAGTGTGATGGGTTTTAGTCAAGTCTTTGGTCTTTCCAGTCGGGAGGGGGAAAATGGCAGGGTGGGAGTGGCACACTCTTGTCCCTGTTGACTTTCAGGATGTGGATAGTGGACTCCTTCCCAACACCCTTTTAGGTGTTGTGAGGTCCCCTTTGCACTTACAAGTGTCCTGAGGGCCCTCCGGGGTGGAGTCTGTGCCGGTAGCTGGGAAGGGTGGTTCAACAGCTCATCCGGCGGGCTTTGCTGGGAGAAGGGGAGGGACAGTCCCACTGTGGCAGGACTGGCTGGTCAGCAGCTGCAGGTTTGGGACCAGCTCTTTTTCAGGGGGGAGGTTTTCCTTCTCTCCTGGGAAGGGCCAAACTGACCCTCAGGTTGGGTCAAATGCCTCTTTCCAATGCTAAAAATAAGACCAAAAAGCTGTATTCAGACGTTTCTAAAAATCTCAGATATTCACAGATAGCCATGTATATAAAATACGCATACATAGTAGTGTTAAAACTGTTTATAGTATGTGTATATGGGTGTGTTGGTATATATACATATATGTAATGTGTGTGTGTGTGCGTTCTCATAATCTCAATAACATATTTGGAGAAACCCCTTCTCTATCCACATTTTTCCTGGCCGACACGGTAATCATCCCTTTAGTGTCTGCTTTCAAAGACTATCAGGTAGGAGACAAGCAATTCTTTCCAGGTTAGAGCAGCATATAAGAACTTAAAACTGGAATAGGCCACCTGAGATTTTTATTCAATTTATATTTCATTTTAAAACTTGAAGAAAAAGCACTTTCAGTATATTGAATCTGGAGGGCCTGAGGCTCCTGCAGCACCACTACAGCCTGGTACCGTGGGTACACTTTGGGATGTGTCTCCTGGCGGGTAGTGGGTTGGGGGCTGGGGACAGTCATATCCTAATTGATCCCAAGAGACTCCCCAGTCCCCTGTATCCAATCCAGGGCTAGATGCCTGTACGTGAGTAGATTCCATATTTTTGACAGATCCCAGGACACAATGAGTTAGACCACCCTTCCCCTGACAAATATTGCATACCTAAAGATACAACAACGACTGGTGTGCCTGGGTGGCTCATTCGGTTAGGCGTCTGCCTTTGGCTCAGGTCATGACCCCGGAATCCTGGGATCGAGCCCGGCTGGGTTCCCTGCTTCTCCCTCTCCCTCTCTCTGCCACTCCCCCTGCTCCTGCTCTCTCTGCTTATGTCTCTCTCTGTCTCTCAAATAAATAAATAAAATCTTAAAAAAAAAAAAAGATACAACAACAGAGTGAAGCTCAATGAAGCACCATGGAAACATTTCATATATTCAGAATGTTTAGGGATCTCTACAATTGGTGGCCTCACAACATTGCTAATTTATTAAACTTTTACATTCTATGGGCATGATCCCAGAAAGCTGGTCCCAAAATGAAATCTGTCCCCATATTATTTTATTTTATTTTATTTTTTTAAAGATTTTATTTATTTGAGACAGAGAGAATGAGAGAGAGAGAGCACATGAGAGGAGGGAGGGTCAGAGGGAGAAGCAGGCTCCCTGCTCAGCAGGGAGCCCGATGCGGGACTGGATCCTGGTACTCCAGGATTATGACCTGAACCGAAGGCAGTTGCTTAACCAGCTGAGCCACCCAGGCGCCCTGTCCCCATATTTTAAAGGGCAATTCTTTGCTCTGACAAAATTATGGGCCTGTTCACTTCTTGGATGTTCCATCCAAAATTATAATGGTTTCCTTACTGATAAACTTCAAGTCTGAGCTTCTCAAGTTAATATTTTACATGGCAAGTAAGAGGTGTGGACATGGCAATTATATGCATAAGCACATTATACTTTGAAGGACCTTGTGAACAAATATGTTAGGAATTGTGTAAGTTGTAGTAGTTTTGGACTCTGTCTTAGAGTCAATGGACAGGGATAGGTTGGGAATTGGCCCAACCTGAGGGCAAGACTGGCCCTTCCCAGGAGAGAAGGAAGACCTCTCCCCTGAATAAGAACCGTCTATGGACTGGGCTGCGGTGCTCTGTAGAAGCCCCTGGTGATTGAATACACTGAATAGATACTGAATATATCTCTATGGAACCTGTTCCTAAGTACTGAGGGAGTAGGCAGGGCTGTCTTTTGGCAGGTCAGGTAACAATTTTTAGTGAGGTGAGACAGATGTATTCTCATCCTCTTTAAATTTATTTTTTTCTAAATTTTTAAAAAGACTTTATTTATTTGTTTGTTTATTTATTTATTTGAGATAAGGAGAGCAAGAGTGAGCGAGAGAGTGAGAGCATGAGGGGAGTGGGGAGAGGGAGAAGCAGGGAGCCCGGCGTGGGGCTCGATTCCAGGACCCTAGGATCATGACCTGAGCCGAAGGCAGCCTCTTGACCGACTGAGCCACCCAGGCGGCCCTGAACTTATAGTTTAATGACTTAGAAACACACACACACACACACGCACACGCACACGCACATGCACATCCCATATCAGGGACGGCAAGTGGGTGTCACTCTTCATGGAAATGTCAGTTGATCGTTGGAGACTGTCCTGAGCACTGAGAAGAACCGTGGCGCACTGGAGGGAAACACACATGGTAGCTGGCTAGAGACGGCTGCTGAGGGCATGGGGAGTGGCGAGGGTTGAGGGCTCCTGCCGGAGGAAGCTCCTGCAGCACCAGCACGGAAGGATCGAGTATCACATTGACCGAGGTTTCAAATCTGTCGAGTGCAATTCTGTTTGATTCAAGCTTGGTTAAAATAACTGCAGCAGGCATTCAGCGCATAGTAATAGTCACCTCCAAACATCGAAAGTTCAACAAGAGTGGAAAACAAGGGACTTGATTTAGGGCAAGAAATGGAAAAGAAAACTGGTGACTTCATTTTAAGCTAGTTACATTGGAAACAATTAACATTAAGGTAAATTCATACATTATCCCCCCAAAAAAAAAAAAAAAAAAAAAATTCATACATTATCCCCAAACCTACATTAACCATGCTTCATGACTTCCTGCTATTCAACACGTTTCACAAACCTTACCCTTCATAAACACAGAAAGTATACATTTTAATTGGGTAAAGATAGGCTTTATAGTAGAATAATTTTATAAGAGGGCCCTTATCTCTTTGCTTTGGTTGGCACAGAAGAAATCTGTGAAGGAAAACAGGGAAGAGTCCAATTTATATTCCTTGAGAACTTTGCCTCAATCTGATTAGTTAGCAAATAGTTTTTTTAATTGTTTAGTTCACTAGGTCATAAATTCAGCTTCCTTATCAGCACAGAGCAAGGCATTTTAGAGCACAGCATCCAGAATAAACAAAAGCCCTTTTAAGCCCAAGTGATTTACTTCATAGTTTCCCTTTAATTAAAGCTCTCTTCTTAAATACAAGCTCGTGTTTCTGATTTCCTATTTGCCTTTCTTAGAGGACTTGCATCATTTTATTTGTCCACAGGAAAACAAATAACAAGATGCTTTCAGACAGTGATTGTATCATTTAGGAATTGCATTTGGCTGGCGGTCATAGAGACCTGACAGCAGCGACTTAAGCAAATTGGGTTA